TGGAAATTTCAACGGTCAAAATCTCTCTATTTAATAATTAAGAATTCTAGAAGTGTCATTTCAAGAAAATAATGCGCACGCCAACCCCATTAGTTTTGGCACATATGACGTATTGTTGCAAGTCTATTCGTTTCATTTCTTTATTATTTAATTTTTAATTAGTGAATTTTATGAAATGTGTAACTAAAAATAACAAAATTTTATCGACTACGACATAAAATTCCGTTACAAAAGTTATGATATTTAACTGGTCCAAAATCTAAGTCGATGTGTGGTGTGAAAATGAATTCAAAATGGGGGCAGCGGACGCCTATTCTCTTCAAATAACCAAATAAAATAAGAAAACATGGGGACGGCAGATAGCAGGATTTCAAGAAATAGTATGATTTTCTATCCTTTTCACTGGACGTTCGACATGGACGGATGAATTATTGTGTTGTGTGGTACCTCCCATGTGACTGCCCCATGGTCTTCTTATTCTTTTATATTTATTTTGTCAATTTTTTACACCTCAATATGACCTCTTGATGACATCATGGGGTACACATATATGAAATATCATCGTATGGGAAATCCGAACGTATTGTCATTAGTCTTCTGTTATTTTTGATTTATTTGAAATATCACAGAATAAATGGTACTTTTTTCGCAATGATAACACGAATTTATCATTACGTTATGTAACAAGTTAATTACGTTAGACCACTTAGTAATAACATTCATTATCAAATATATTTTACCTGTTTGATTTGATAAAAGCTCACCTAACAGGCAGACAAGAAAATTCATAAATATGATAGTATTAATATAGTATACTCATTGAGTGTGAGATTTACTCTAAAATTCTTATAATTTGACTTCTTAATTCTCATTCATTGCATTCTAGACCAACTGAATTAGGTATAAAAGGTAGGAGGATGGGTCATGAGCCATGACTTGAGCTTTAAACTGGGTCAGTCAACTGGTCATTTTCTTCAAACTGAGCAATATTCCTATGTTGCAACAAGACGAATGGAAAATCCAAACCAAAGAGTTGATGGCTCTGACCAAATTCTCTTTTTGAACCATATTATGGAAATTGACCGTGGTGGCCAAAAAAATAAATAATAAATATTTATACCTACATAATATTAAAACTAATTTATATTCTGTAAATATTCTCCATAATTGTATATAGTTGACCGTATTATCTTTAATAAAGGGTCTCAATTTTTTAAATTATAAACTTAGTCATAATCAAGTAATTTTTACACTTGAAAGGCCAGAAGGGTCCAAGGAGTCTAGTCTTACGCGTGTGGTTTGTGGACCCTAGGTTTTGACTCCAGTGAGCATCCCTCACTACACGAATTATAAGCACTAGCATTTTCCTCAAACTTCAAACAGCCCACTCAGACCCGCAATCGCCAACTTCACCCACTTTAATCCCCGCCGCGTACGGAGGCTGAACTGGTCGTCGTATGATTAAGAGTGTGTTTGGTGGAGATTAAAATTATATTTTTAGTAGATTGTAATAGAAGTTTTTGAAATGTGTGGTTGAAAAATTGTGGGACCCATGAAAAATATGACTAATATTGATTTTTTGTCTTTGACTTGAATTAAAAAAATATTTTAATCCGAACCAAACGGGGGACAATTCTTGATATTACATGGTAAATAATAAAACTGATTTATGGTTTGTATCAAAAACAGATTTTCCACTGTATCTAGAATTATATATAGTCATGGAAAGTTTATTTATGTAGTATATGTAGGCTAGAGAACACTTTGTTTCACGGGGTGCATTTCTTCTTGGCATAGAAATGGGCACCGTGCGGCAGTAGTATGCTCCGTTAGACTACTTTCTGCCTTTCTCGATCGTTTCGGGACGAAAGAAAATTTGATTACAATTTGTAGAAAGCTTGCAATATAAATTGAGATGCATTGAAAGTAAACTGATCATTGATTGATTGAAAGCTAGAAATTACAATTGGTGAAAGCAGGAAATTACAATTGCTAGTGCAAGGGGCAAACACCAGAAAGCTTGAAAGAATGTTTGAAAGACTAATACCTCCTAATAGCTTGCGGAATAAAAATCTAAGCGATAGGAGTAGACATTTAAATGCCGAGAAATCATACTAAACATTTATCAATATCAGAGTTATTTTACAATTGAAATAAACTATTACAATAAAAAGAAAATTACAACTCAAATATGAACTAATATTTACAATGTACGGTCAAAGTTGGGCAAACTGTGATTGTGATTGGATCAAGGGGCTAGTTGAAGCTGCGATCCTTGTCACTAAATAATAAAATTTTGTTTATCAAATTTGATATGACAATTTGAGTGCCAATAAGTAATTTAAATAATCGATAAAAGTTTCAGGATCATCGGAAGTTAATTTAAATGAATAGGTTTTCTCATGTGTGAAATATACATAGTCATGTTTGTCTGGTATGTGTGTGTTCATTTTGTTTTTAAAAGTAATCTCATTCCTATTCAACTTTTGAGATTAAGACAAAAGTATTTCGAGATTTGTGTACTAACTTTTGAGTACTAAAAAATCCGAAACATCCATAGATTTCATCCATTTTTGTGAAAGAGAAGAATTGTCTAGATGCGGCTATGCAAAAATTTTAAAAAGTTGACATATTAAAATGTTCACATAGTTTTTTTACTAGTTTTGAAAACTCCCCAATATTATATGAAGATGGAGAATTCGATCCAAAGTTTGTTTACTCTCGGGTGTCATGGTTCATTATTAATTAGCTTCTTTGATTTATTTTTCTAATCATAAACACCTTAAAATGTCAATGTATGTTTCTCGAAATATGTTGTCATGGTTCAGTATTAATTAGCTTCTTGAGACGTTTGTTTAACCTGAATTATATAAAGAGATAAAAATGAATGATGGATAAGTATGTTTCTCGAAATATGTTGATAAAAAGTTGTTTGAGGACATAAGCTAAACACGAGTAGATAGAGATTTTGAATTTGAATATCTTCGTCACCTAGACATAAATTATATAAATAAGGTTGTTTGATCTATTTTTAACCTTTACATAAGGTTATTCAACACGTACATGTACGCGCGTTTGCATGTGCACCAACCACAAAATTCACTTGCATATATATATGAACCATACTTGCAGAGAACACAAGACACAACTAGAAGGAAGAGGAATAAAAGAGAACAAGAAGACAAGTGCTGGAAAAGAAGATTAATTTTGTCAAGGGCTTGGACAAGAAATTAACAAGCAATTGCCATGGCAGAAGAGTACTTTCAAGGCGAGGTTTGTGGAGGAAACTGGTGGAATTCATCCAGAAATATATTATGTTCTACCCGGTGTTCATCCAATATCAATGAAATTGCAAACTTTGGATGGCCTAATGATATGATCATGAACCTGAATACAAGGTCTAACGACGACTCGGGTTCACCTTCTGATGGCTCTATAGTACTCCAAGATGTTCAAATACCTCAGCAATCAGACTCAGAATTCATTGCCAATGGCAACATATCAATGGATCCACCCCTACAAAAGATGGGGTACGAAATTTCATCATCAACACCTGATAATTGGAACCAAGACATTTAGTAAGTATATAGAATTAATTATAAGTATTAAGTAGTAATCCTTAATTATTCTTCTGATCTGTTGGGTGCCCAAAAAGAAGTATATTTTTTTGAAATAATTTACCTATATATATATATATATGAAAAAAAAAAGATGAGTTGATGCAATATTATCACTTTTTTTTTTAAATTGTCTTTTTGCAGCCATGAAAATGGAAGATTATCTCAGGGAAATTGTGCTCTTATACTGCAAGACAACTTAGATTCAAGCATGAATTATCTGCAACAAACTTGGATGAACTGTCCACAGATCCAAAAGGACTGGAATTCCAAGAACTGGGGCCAAGATTCTTCCATTTACACGTTGTTGAAATCTTTATGTGATACAGATTCTCAGCCACATAATTCCTCGTTAGATAACCGGGCAATGAACTATCAATCTCCTTACCAGAAGTACGCGTATGAATTTGCATCTTCTTTGCCCCAACTCTCTCCCTTGATAAAGCTTTCACTGCCAAACAAGAAACCTGCTAATCATGTACAGTTCTCAAATAACAGAACCTTGTTGACTGCCACGGCTGCATCTTTGAATGATATTCGAGCAAGTTTACTCTCTCCAACACAGTCCCAGTTCCCCTTATCAAATATCAACGCGAAACCTAATCTTCTTAAGGTAAAGTAAATATCATTTGTTCTGTACAATGTTGAAATCAATTGTTCGACATATAAAAGTAATTTTACCAAATAACAATATGTTGGATGTGTGGAGTTTAATAATGTGTACACTTACCCCCCTGCGGATTCATATAATATTTCTTATTTATATAAAGGATTCTTCTATTTGTGTGAGTGGAAGCACATCTTCTTCTTGAATATTCAGAAAAATCTGCTTTATCTTTTAGAATGAATCACTGTCTGTTTTCTTTGTGGGTGTCCAATTTTATCAAATTTATTATTTCTCTCATAACAACGGATTAAGGCTCCATTCATGAAAAAAAAAAAAAAATTCAGGGCGTCGATAAAGAAAAAAGAGGGTTAAGCTCAGTGGCAAAGAAAACCAGCAGCGAAGCCGCATTAAAGCGTCCAAGAATTGAAACACCGTCGCCATCACCAACCTTTAAGGTACTACAGAATTGATTTGAGTTCTTTTCTAAATTAACCTTTATGCTTTTCCTTTTACAAGTAAAATCATTAGTTGTAAAAAGAAATGGATGAGAACTCTTTAGCTTTTGTTATCAGGTCCGAAAAGAGAAGCTAGGGGACCGAATCACTGTCCTCCAACAGTTGGTTTCACCTTTCGGAAAGGTAAAAAATTGGAATAATTATTCATTAAAAACTAATTAGTCCTAAACTTAAAATTGAAAGCTAATTATTCTTTGCTGTTAATCACTCTTTCAGACCGATACTGCCTCAGTTCTCCAGGAAACAATTGAATACATCAAGTTTCTTCATGATCAAGTCAGTGTATTAAGCACTGCCTACTGGAAAAATGGATCGTTTGTTGAACGTCAACAGGTACAACCCTATAATGTACGAGAATTCCAAAAAGGCTTGCATTTTGGTTTCAGCAAAAATCGAAATTATTTTTATAAAAAATCATTTTCTATATTTTTTTATTTTTTTAATAAATTTTGAAAGCATAAAAGAAACTTCACGGAAATTTAAAGAAGATTTTGCATTAAAAATATTTGAATTGTAGGTTCCATCGTGGGCTTTAACTACTGCATTATACTGCATTTTAACTTTTTCATTAAAAAAAGGGAAAATTGCAGCTAAGTTACCAAACCTGTCATTTTGTTGTAGACTTTGCCCAAACATTTCATTTATACCACTCACTGTGCCAAATCTTTAAAAAAATCGTAGTCCAAAATAACGGTTTCTGTTAGTTTGACCTCAAAAACTGTCAGTTGATCCAGAAATTAAAAATCTAATAATTTTCTCCAAATAAGGTAAGGACATTTTTGACATAATATATTTTCTCTATTAAATCAAAAATAAAAAATAAAAACAAAAAAAAAACTACAATCCCCTACCCCACCCCACAACCTCCACTTCATTCCGACACACGTCGATACAGCCGCCGCGTAGCCCACTGCCAAGCGTTGCATAAAGTTTTTGTGCCCAATGGGCCGGTTCTCCACTGTTGAGTTTTCTCTAAAGCACAATGCAGACATTTTCGGCCTGGGCTTTCAGTTGGCTCTCTTTTCTTAGTCAGCATCGTTTTCATGGACTTGGGATTGGGGTCTGTGTTTGTGGTGATATTATTGTAGTGAGTGTAGGAGGTGGAGGAAGGTGGGGCAGAGAGGAGGAGGAGGAGAGAACTAGTCACAGGTGGCGGCGTGAGAGCGCTTACTGCGAGCTTTGCTCAGGACAAAGACAACGGAGGGAAAAATAGGAGGCGATGGTGATTGGTTGACTGGAGAGACTGAAATTGTGGTGGCGGAGGAGTGAGGGGGTTGGGGAAGAAGGAGATGGGGGTGGGGTGCGGGAGTTTTGTTTTTTTATTTTTATTTTTTATTTTTTGATTTAATAGAGAAAATGTATTATGTCCAAAATGCCCTTACCTTATTTGGAGAAAATTATTAGATTTTTAATTTCTGAGTCAATTGACGATTTTTTGGGTCAAACTAACAGAAACCATTATTTTGTACTTGGGCTGCGATTTTTTTAAAGCTTTGGTACCGTTGGTGGTACAAATGAAATGTTTGTGTAAAGTCTGCAACAAACTGAAAGATTTGGTACCTCGACTGCAATTTTCCCTAAAAAAAAATTAGCTGAACTTTTTGTTGGTGATATTATAAATAAATCTTTTTGATGGCTTAGTGCATTACTTTGAACTATTTGCTTAATTAACAGACATTTATTTGATGTTAAATGATCCAAAATTAAATATTGAATGTTTATATTAACTTTAACCATGGAATTATATTTTTTATACACATTTCATGTTCTATTAATATATATATATATATTTTCCAAAATTGGTATTTTCTTGTGTCGTGTGATATCATGTCCAATTTTTTATTTTTCTTTATGTGCAACTAGGTAGGGCGTAAAGATAAATAGACTGCGAAACGCAAAATATTTACTTAGAATAATGTAAGGAATTAAGGATACAATAGTTCGATATTTTAGAATAATCACCATATTTGATTTACGCGCAGGCTGCCGATAAACAAGACCTAAAAAGCTGGGGACTTTGCCTTGTGCCAATATCAAGCACATTCCCAGCTGCTGCTGAGACTGCAACTGACTTTTCGACGCCTACCTTTGGATGAATATTCAGGTAGAGACAAGTAAAAGAAACTCCAATACTGGGCCATTAGTGCAGGCAAGAGAATGATTAGGAAACACAAAATTAAACTTAAGTATATGGGTTTCAATCAATAATCTCTGGATTATAGTTAGAGGTTAGGTTTATTAGGGACAGGAACAGGTGCTAAATTTAGCTGAATTTTGGATTAGTTTAGAGGGATTATCCATCATTTGTTTGAGCTGAATTTAGCAGATTTTAAGGGGATTTTGTTCCTGTTTCTATGTATTTTATGGCAGGGTGCCACCACCTTTTGATTAATTTATGTAGAAGATGAAGACAACTGAGGAAAAAAGAAATAAATGTTTTATTATGGAACTCAAGTATTATAAAAAAATGATTGTGTGGAACTTCTTTCATTGTTGTAAATTCATTATGTTTCACGATCAAATCATTTTTTATTCATGAATTTCGTAGAACCCACAAATACTATACACCCATTTATTGAATTTCATAAAATCTTGAATTTCCAGGTCAATATCGATCAGTAGACATAAGCAAATATAATCAGTAAAAACTGGATAACCATATATATGAGCACTTATCTTGCAACAATGTTTTATCTTATTAGTTTTTCTCCAGCTTGTGTAGCTACATAGAAAGGATGTGGTGATATAACGAAACAGGGACAGGCCAAGCGGCTTGATTTTTAGCATTTAACAAGAAATGCACCAATTGAGTCATTGACAGGATTCCCAAATCACTCTTAATGGATCCGAAACTTGACTTGCGCCAAAACACATGTAGAAGTCAAGCGAGACCATGTACGGCCTCCTATTTTATTCTTTCCCCTGCCATATTTGGTTTTTGCTAGACTGAACTGGTGTATTAGTAGTCATTTGATTAGGCTAATATGATGACATGTCTTGCATATGGTTGCACCCACCATGAATAAATCCACGATGGAGATTTAAAATAGGGACCGATATGTTGTCAATTTATTTAATCTGACCATGAACTTGATCAGCTAGTGTAGTAAATCAAGCCAAGTTTGTTTAGTCATGTTGAGGTTCAAGTACTATATGAGGGAAAGAAACCTGCACTATGGATGATACCTTGTCGTCAAAGTAAAGGAGATTTTTTTGTTCACTCATGGGATCTTGTCCGGGCAGACCACCCTGGATCCAATGTAATCTGTATTTACAGTCAAAAGATTATATACAAAATAGGTTGGCCAAAACATACATCAAAATTGATCTGCCAATGGAAACGAAGATAATCAGAGCATTCATTCCGAGAATACTCATCTCATCTGCCATCAAGAATTGTGAAAGAAATTTTGTTGGCAGAGACTTTTTGGCACGAACAAGATCCTAAATGAGCATGATTCCACCTATCTGTAAAAAAAGGTTCCTTCGGCAATGGCAGATCAACAATTTCAATACTGAGCATCGAGAGAACGGTTGATATAGTAGGCCTATTTACGGGGGATTCTTGGACACATAACAATGCGATGTGCATGCATCTCGTGATTTCTGCACTGAAGTTTGGATTTGATATTCTTTTATCTATGAGTTCCACGGATTTGTCCTCGTTCCATAGTTTCCATGCCTAAAAGTATATGGGACGTGTTCCATTTGACACAGAAGTTTTGTTCAGTTAGAAATAAGAAAGAGAAGTTAAAATCTTGTGTGGCAAAAGAATTTGAAAGGGCTTACATATCCAGAAAGGGTTAAAGATAGCTCTTCATTATAGAAGCTTGTGTTTCTTCTCCCAGTGACGATCTCCAATACAAGAACTCCAAAACTGAAAACATTCGATTTTTTTGAAAATCTGCCGCTTAATGCATATTCTGGAGCCATGTATCCACTGCAACATGACATTTCAATCATGTCATAAACAAAGACTACGATTTCAACAATGTAAAAAGAGCAATTCAGGATATACTTACTATGTTCCTACAACTCTTTTAGTTTTGGCTTGATCTTGATCTCCTCCAAATATTCGTGCCATTCCGAAGTCTGAAATTTTTGGATTCCACTCCTCATCAAGCAATATGTTACTTGGCTTCAAATCTCGGTGGATTATTCTCAACTTGGAATCCCTATGTAGATAAAGGAGTCCTCTGCCAATACCTTCAATAATATTGAATCGTTTCCTCCAATCGAGAACCATTTGTGATTGATCTATACGTATAATTGAAATCGGAAGGTCTAAAAATATATATCTTATGTCGAAAAGAAAATTTTTAATCAGAAAATATAACACAAAACAAAGTTAAACTCACCAAAGAGAAGGACGTCTAAGCTTCTGTTTTGCAGATATTCGTAGATCAACATTTTTTCATATTTCTCTACACAAAATCCCAATAGTCGAACAAGGTTTCGATGTTGGAGTTTAGAGATCACCGCAACTTCATTCATAAATTCTTCCATTCCTTGTCCCGAAACGGTAGAAAGCCTCTTTACTGCAATTTCTTTTCTGTTTGCCAACTCTCCCTACATTAAAATATCAATCATTTCAACACTATCTATCTTATGTAAAGTAAAATTAATAGAGAAATGATAAATAAGCACGAGAAATTACCTTATAAACAGGACCAAAACCACCTTCACCAAGCTTATTCGCCACGTGAAAATTGTTTGTTGCATTTACAAGCGTCTCAATACTATATAACGGTAACTCTTCAATATTGACATTGTCTTTGGGATTTCTAAGCACAATTGGGGTTGATTCCAACAAGTTTGATTCCCCTGCTTCTTGTTGTTCAATTACACCTTTCCTTTTTCTCTTAGACATCCACTGCCAAGTTAAATATAAGCAAATGGATACAACCGCCAAACTGATTATCACCAGAACTATGATAATCACTGTTTGGTTTTTTTTCTTATCTGAAACAAAAAACGAACGTGAAAAAAAGCAGTTGACGAACAAAAACATATGGGGAAAGTGCGAACAAAATTCCTAGAAATTACCTCGCTCTGAGTAGGGTACACGGATGTAGAGATCTAAACCTGGATCAGCCTGGTATTGCTGAATGTCAATTAAGGTCTCACTCCAGTACATACAACCTATATCGGTGTCATAAGAATAGGCTATACAGGAACAATTCCTTAAGCATAGACTTTTGCATTCATTTTCAAGACCAGGTGACCATTGAATAAAGTCTAGCACTTTTACCATCCTTAACTTTGAGAATACGTCCTCTTTACTTTTGTTTGTGGCATTTTTACTTCTTTCGCACTGCAATGGTGTCTTCCTCTTGCATCCATCAGTCCAATTCCCTCCACTCCATTCTCGTTCGTTCTTTGGTTCATACCCTCTTAAACATTGACATATAGGTGAATTATATTGGTTACAGAATGTGAATGGACCGCAGTTGTTATATACATCACAAGCGACGTCCGGACCCTTATACGATCTATCCCAATGACCCATCTGATTATTCCATACTTCCTCCGTTTGAATTCCTTCTGGAGTTAAAATATCTTTGACTATTAAGTTTTGACGAAAATTTCGAGTAAAATAATATGTTCCATCTTCATCTACAATACTAAATCCATCAATGTACACCGAGTACATTCTCGTTACTCCGGTAAAAACCCGACCGTTCCATGGACCGCTCCGCCAGAATGGACGATCTTGATACCATGCAAAAAGTTGTGGAATGCGTATTGAAACATGGAGTCCCACGAAATAATCTCCGTAATTTGGATCCTGAGAAGTTTTCCACGAATTTAGCATTATTTTCTCCCCTGTATTTGTGTTGTGACTTAATCTCATTGTAGGCAGAAAAGAGTTTGTCGGGTGCTTGTGACTTTCCCATAATGTCACATTATTCGACTGATCGAGGAGAATAAGGTTTCCATTATCCGTTAACTGGGCCGATGTATTTCTTGGGGAAGTTGTTGCATTTGTAGACCAAACAGTCTCATGGTTGCCATTCATTAGTACGATGTTACCATCTGAGGATATCGTTATAGTCCCGGAAGAATCATTGAGAGATCGATCACGATTGGCAACCCACATGACAGATACGTTGGAGACATAATACCATATGCCCATGTAGCGTCTGGTGGTTCCATTGGGGCTGAAGAATCCCAAAGTGAAGACCTTGCCTTGGGAAACAATGGTGTCCAAATCCTTGAGGACTATACTGGTCGAAAGGGTATCTGTTTCTAGACAAACCCCGTAACTCGATAGCCAAAGTACTATAACTATAATAGCTCTACAGTAACAAAATTCATTATGGAGTAAGTTTTGATTCAACCAAAAGGCATAAGGATCTGATTGAAAAAGTGGATTCAACGGCGTTTTGATGATCATGATTTAATTTGGGATTGTTTGATGGAGAGAATGTATACTTGGTTTGTTAAGGTGAATCCATTGTCAAGGCTATATTCTACATATTATAATCATCTTTCTTTTGTGGAAATTGTATGCCTAAGCTAACGAATATTGACTGCCAATCAATTCTGTGTCTAAAGTCTGAAGTAATGATGACATTTTTCTGACTAAGAAACGGACGGGGGAGATATTTAATTAGCTATCAAATTTGATTTCCAACTTGTCATTTGAAGAAGACCATATTTTAAACAAGTAATCGTTCTCAAGCGCATTTGTTGAATAAAAAATACTGAATCTGAATGATTAATTCAGGACGGCGATTACCTAATACAGAATGCGTATCATTGGGTTAAAAATGCTTACCTCTGTTTGTGTTAGCGGTCCTCTTACGGTGATTTGGCCCACTAGCAGAGGGATGAAATCCCAAATTGCAGCAGTTCTCTTGGACTTGTTCAAATCAAATTTAATTATAATTATACGATTGAATAAAATAAAAGTAAAATATTAACAATAGAGTAAAAGTATAGTTGCCGCAAATGAATTTCCCAATAAAAGTTAGTGCACACTCGATTAAGTGGGTGTGAGCACCAACTTTTTTTTAAAGCTGCAGAAGTCAGAACCCACATTTGTGTGCATTTTAGTCCACATATTTTGTCTCTCAACTTACTAAAAAAACTACTTTTTTGCCAAATATGACCAAATAATTAGAATTTTTTGCAGTGATATCAGGAGTCAAATTTCCGCTCAAAAAGTCTTTAGTCATTGAACAACCAATTTTCATGTGCCTAATTATTTAACCTTTTCAATTCTTTTGCAAAACAGTTGGTGTCCATTCTTGCAGCCATCTGGGAGGATTCTTGGTGTTTCAACCTTCTTCAATCTTGTATCTTATTATTTAACATTTGATAAATAGTAAATAGCTTAAAAATTATCAAGATTGACAGAATGCAAGAAGGTAACATATATAAGAAGAAAAGATGGTATCTCATTCATATGAAGCAACTATAAGAAGTTATATAATCTATAAAACGAATGTAATCTGTATATACAGTAATTGGGTGTATACAAAACTGGTTTGCCAAATTTTACTTCTTAATTGATCAGCCAATGGAAATGAAGATGATCAAAAAGATTGATTCTGAGAGTATTCATCTCATCTGCCATCAAGAATTGTGATAGAAATTTTGTTGGCAGAGCCTGTTTGGCTCGAAGAAGATCCTGAAGGAGCATGATTCCACCTATCTGTAAATAAAGGTTCCTTTGGCAATGGCAGATCAACGATTTCAGCACTTAGCATTGAGAGAACGATTGATATAGTAGGCCTATTTACGGGGGATTCTTGGACACATAACAATGCGATGTGCATGCATCTCGTGATTTCTGCATTGAAATTTGGATTTGATATTCTTCTATCTATGAGTTTCTCGGATTTGTTCTCATTCCATAATTTCCATGCCTGAAAGTGTATATGTAACACATTCCATTAGACACGGAAGAAGGTTTGTTCAGTTAGAAATAAGAAAGAGAAGTTAAAATCTTGTATGGCAGAAGAATTTGATAGGACTTACATATCCAGAAAGGGTTAAAGATAGCTCTTCATTGTAGAAGCTTGTGTTCCTTCTCCCGCTAATGATCTCCAATACTATAACTCCAAAACTGAAAACGTCCGATTTTTCTGAAAATCTGCCGCTTAATGCATATTCTGGAGCCATGTATCCACTGCAACATGACATTTCAATCATGTCATAAACAAAGACTATGATTTCAACAATGTAAAAAGAGCAATTTAGGATATGCTTACTATGTTCCTACAACTCTTTTAGTTTTGGCTTGATCTTGATCTCCTCCAAAGATTCTTGCCATTCCGAAGTCTGAAATTTTTGGATTCCACTCCTCATCAAGCAATATGTTACTTGGCTTCAAATCTCGGTGGATTATCCTCAACCTGGAATCCCTATGTAGATAGAGGAGTCCTCGGCCAATACCTTCAATAATATTGAATCGTTTCCTCCAATCGAGAACCATTTTGGATTGATCTATACATACAATTCATATCAGAATGTCCTAGAATATATATCTTATGTCGAAATGAAAATTTATTACTTTAACACAACAGAATAAAACTCACCAAAGAGAAAGACATCTAAGCTTCTGTTTTGCATATATTCATAGACCAACATTTTTTCATATCTCTGTACACAACATCCCAATAGTCGAACAAGGTTTCGATGTTGGAGTTTAGAGATCACAGCAACTTCATTCATAAATTCTTCCATCCCTTGTCCCGAGACTGTTGAAAGCCTCTTTACAGCAATTTCTTTTCTGTTTGCCAACTCTCCCTACATAAAAGTATCACACATTGAAATACTACCTATCTTATATAATGTCAAATTAATAGAGTAATGAGACATGGGCATGAGAAATAACCTTATAAACAGGACCAAAACCACCCTCACCAAGCTTATTCGCCACGTGAAAATTGTTTGTTGCATTTACAAGTGTCTCAATACTGTATAACGGTAACTCTTCAATATTGACATTGTCTTCGGGATTTCTAAGCACAATAGGGTTTGAATACAACGAGTTTTTTTCCCCCGTTTCTTGTTGTTCAATTACAATTTTCTTTTTTCTCTTGGACATCCACCGCCAAGAGAAAAATAAGCAAATGGATATAACCACCAAACTGATTATCACCAAAACTATGAGAATCACTTTTTTGTCTTTCTGCTTATCTGAAACAAAAAACAAACATCAAAAATAGCAGTTGACAAACGAAAAACTTGTTGCGAAAGCATGAACAGAATTCCTAGAAATTACCTCTCTCCGAGTAGGGTACACGGATGTAGAGTTCTAAACCTGCATCATCCTTGTATTGTTGAATGTCAATTAAGGTCTCACTCCAATACATACAACCTATATCGGTGTCGTAAGAATAGGCTATACAGGAACAGTTCCTTAAGCATATACTTCTGCACTCATTTTCAAGACCAGGTGACCACTGAATTAAGTCTGGCACTTTTACCATCCTTAACTTTGAGAATACGTCCTCTTTGCTTTTATCGGTCGCATTGTTACTTCTTTCACACTGTAATGGCGTCTTCCTCTTGCATCCAGCAGTCCAATTCCCTCCATCCCATTCCTGCTCGTTCATTGGTTCATACCCTCTTAAACATTGACATATAGGTGAATTATATTGGTTACAGAATGCAAATGGACCGCAGTTGTTATATACATCACAAGCGACATCCGGACCCTTATACGATCTATCCCAATAACCCATCTGATTATTCCATAGTTCCTCCGTTAGAATTCCATCTGGACTTAAATCATCTTTGACTAATAAGTTTTGACGAAAACTTCGAGTAAAATAGTATGTTCCACCTTCATTTACCATACTGAATCCATCAACGTACACAGAGTACATTCTCATAACTCCAGTAAAAACCCGACCGTTCCACGGACCGCTCCGCCAGAATGGACGATCTTGATTCCATGAAAAAAGTTGTGGAATGCCTATAGAAACCTGGAGTCCCACGAAATAATTTCCGTAATTTGGATCCTGAGAAGTTCTCCACGAATTTAGCCTTACTTTCTCACCCGTATTCGTGTTGTGACTTAATCTCAACGTAGGCAGAAAAGAGCTTGTTGGGTGCTTGTGACTTTCCCATAATGTGACATTATTTGACCCATCGAGGAGAATAAGGTTTCCATTATCTGTCAACTGGGAAGATGTATTTCTTGGAGAAGTTGTGGCATTTGTGGACCAAACAGTCTCGTTGTTTCCGTTCAGTAGTACGATGTTACCATCCGTGGATATCGTTATAGTCCCAGAAGAATCATTGAGAGGTCGATCTCGATTGGCAACCCACACGACAGACACCTTGGATACATAAAACCAAATTCCCATGTAGCGTCTGGTGGTTCCATTGGGGCTGAAGAATCCCAAACTGAAGATCTTGCCTTGAGAAACAATGGTGTCCGAATCTCTGAGGACTATACTGGGAGTAAGGGTGCCTATTTCCAGACAAATCCCGTGACTCGATAGACGAAGGACTATAACTATAACAGTTATAAAGTAAAAAAATTTATTATGGAGTAAGTTTTGATTCGGACAAGGATCTGATCGGAAAATGGGATTCATCAGAAAGAGTTTTGATTCGGACAAGGATCTGATCGGAAAATGGGATTCATCAGCTTTCTGATGATCAAGATTTTATTCAGGAATGTATCCTTGCTTTGACAAGGTGAAACCTTTGTCGACATTTTACATATCCTAGGCGGCTATCTCTTCATATAATAATCCTTTTTTGTGGAAATTTCATACCTGAGCTAACATTTCTTGACTGCCAATCAATTCTAGAGGGACCGACCTAGCCGAATTAATTCAATTCTCTCTGTCCAAAGTCTAAACTAGCCATGACATTTTTGTTGTTAGACTAACTAAAAGGTGAAGCTCATTGATATTCGTAGCCGTCAAATTTGATTTCCAACTTGTCACCTATGTATGTATCGAATTTGTCCAAATTGCACCAATTTATATTCTTGTTTTTGATGATTACTTAAGACCAAAACTGTTGATCGTCGTCTTTGTAATGTACTAAAATACACGAGGGTAAATAGCTTGTTAACTTGACGGTATTTTGTTTCTTTCTTATGTTTTTATTTAGGATTATATACTATGACAAAAATTAATTTTATTTGCAACTAATTTAATATCAAAAATACAATCGTCATTCTATTCGTTTTATTGTTAGATTGTGAAAATTAACGATAATTTTTGTGTTGATTACTAAAATCTTTTCTAATATGGTGTCAACGATGAACAGGTATTGAACTTAAATACATGTTGATTCTTTGCCATCCGTTCGGCGCATCTTACTGCCTCAACCAACTTTCTCATCTGTTAATCACACACAAATTTACATCCAATTCCATATTTTATACAGTACGTAGGAATTGGTAAAAGTGTGATGATTTCTCTATTCCCGACTTCCTACGGTGTTCTCGAAAGCGAGTTTTTTGTCAAATAAAAAATACTGAATGATTAATGATTAAGGACTTCGATAACATAATACAGATGGGATAAACGTTTAAACAAAGCAATAATGCTGGGGAATATAACCATTCACACAGATAGTCATATGAGTCTTATGACTTAATAAATACTTTTTGATCAAACGACCTGATTGACTAATGGTTGGAAAAAATGAGGTGAATTGCTAGTGGGAACCTTTTACTTATTTTGAAAGATCAACATTGATTTTTGTTCTCTTCCTCAAGAATATAGAAATCATGTATTCTTTTACTTGTGAATATAATGTTTGGGTTGATTTGTCAAATAAAAAATTGGACATCTTTGTAAAAACTTGATATGGATAAGATCATGTTTTAGCAAGTTGCAAATAGATTGGCCCAATCCAAACGCAAGACTTCATGAAATAGGGTTGACTTTGGATAAATTAGTATGTTTGATCCGCTTAGATCTCATACATTTCAATGCTTCGATAGATTCAGATCCATGGATTTGTATACGTCTATTTTGGTGATTGGCTGATTGCAATTCCGAGAACCAATAGAACGCATATCCGGTGAAAAATGTCGATAAAATTGGAGTATTAAGCGGGACCAAACATGATTAAATTCTTATTTGCTCTAGGACTACATAAACAAACATATGTTGTCGATTTAGTTACAACCAATAGCCGATCCTTTTTAGTACTTAAATTGATAGCTTTACGATATTGGTTCAAGGATTTTAGCAAAAAACAAAAAAAAAATCCTTAATCCGTACCAAATCAAAGTGAAAGGAGCAGCTTACACACTCCCATTTCCTCCCATTGCTAGGCCCATTCTTTGTAGTACTTAAAATTTTCCATTTGGAGAGGAATTTTAGCGTTTCAATGTGAATAAAGTTCGACTGCACAAAGCAAACAGATTTAACAGACTTGAGATGGATCTTGGGGTTCTTTCCCATGATGTCGAGTTGTCAGCTACATTTCCTATTTAATTCTCATATTCCTTCCAAGCTTGACTCCAGGAATCAATGTTGTTACTACTTAGCTTCGCTGGAGGCTTCTGTGACAACAATGTTGTTGGAAATAATTGCCAGCAGTAACTTTTCAGAACAATAAAAATACAAAAGGGAAAATTTATCGATTGATCAAGTCTCATGACAATATGATATTCTAAAGTGAAATTGTCTATTGTTAACTATTGTGGCCTCCTTGGACAGTCACTCGTTA